AGCTGAACGTTGTAGATTTCTACGACTGTATCATGAGCCACCCTTGCAAAAATCTCCAAAAATAATTCGTACGGAAGAGATTTCAGAGAACTCTCTTGGTGATTCTCATTCTTCAAACGCTTTTCAGACGAAGGATCCATTGTTAATTCTTCTTGTATGTAGCATTCTAATATATATAGTGATAGCCAAGGAATTCAGTCGACGACATGACCTTTTACTATTTATGATTTTAGAAATTTGTAAAGACATAATTCAGGTTTGACTATAGCATATGGAACCACAATTAATAAAGGGTATGTTTCCCTATGTATCCCTTTTCCATTCATTTATGCATCCTTTTGGAAAAGATTGCTGATAAAAATACCAAAAATTATAATTATAGTTATAATAACACAAAAAACTGATTTAAACGTCATGCATTTTCCAATACGAAAAACGGTTATACAATGATTACATCGCATTCCAATACATTTTTAAAAACATAGACTTTAACTTTTCACATTTTTCTATAACCCCATTGAATTCTTTACACATCAATGTATACCATAATTATACACAAAAGGCCCTCTAATTGAATGAAGAAATATTTTAGTACACATATTTTCCTATAACACCATCGATCTCTCTACATATTTTGGACGTAAAGAGTGCACACGAATCTGGAATTGTTTGTCATGTGTAAATTTTACTGCATTGAATTTGTTATCTCTGACAATTGGAAAAGCATAAAACATTCCTCAATGCCCTGGTTATTATATGAATATCGACATTGAATATTAATCATAGGAAGGAACAATTCTTGGACTATAATTTCCTTGCAGCCATAGATTCCCAATCTTTGATAACATTCAAATTGATTGGAGGCATATAATTTTTTATTAATTTTGTTTAACGTCTTTTGATACCATTCCAGTTGTGCAATTATACCAAAACAACATTAGACAAACATTCACATTCACATAAAACAAAACCAAAATCATACAGAAGATAAAGGATCATGGGAACATTTAAATAAATCAGTAACCATTGTTCACAACAACCTTGTGAGCCGTATACAATAAATCAGCGCACAATAAAATTGCACAAAACATAGATAAAAACATTTGGAAAACACAGTCATAAGCCATTTTCAAAAATTCTTCACGATATGTCCAGATATCCTTTTCGTCTTGCAAGATGAATCAACCTTTCGCATCAAAACCGTTTCAAAAGGAAAAGTATCATCTTGTTAGTATAATGTATAACAACACTAAAACAAAATTGAAACAAAAAGTCGATTACTTAACTCCTTCTACAATTTAATCTTCTTAAGAGGACGCACAGATGAACAGTTAGATTTATCCTCAATGGATTTCGCAAGATTTACAGCAGGAGTCAACAAAGAAATTGAAATATCAGCATCACCGGTACTCTAGTAGGTCTGACTCTCAACATCCTAACGAGAAATTAAAATTACATGGATTTAAAAATAAGTTTGATATCCTAACTATTGGTGAACTGTGATATGATCAGTAACTTTAATACATACCACAACTTTTCCTGTGGCAGGCGATAAGATATCACTGTCGAAAGCAAGATCGAAGTTTTCTTCGTCCTGTATTTATTTGTCAAGACACAATCAATACGGCAAATACCGCACATATGTAACAATATAAAATCAGCAGGTTTACAACTCTTTATAAAAAATAACATACATTCAGATCAAACGAAGACTTAAGGAAGGAGGTCACAATGGCTTCGCTGCTACAAACTCTCGAAACTTGGTATCTTGGCTCATTCTATGATTCCAACTTATTTTTTGTAATGTTTAGCTTAAATAACATGGACCTCTCATTAAGAACATCAAGTTCCAATGGATAATGTTCCATATTAGCACCCTACATTAAGAAGTGAATTAAATTCAATTGTATGAACCCATTAATAAGGAGCACAAAACACAAATCAAGTAAAATGTCAAACAATGAGATTCAAACCCGCTTGAAATGTTGCTCACGCAATTCAGCAGCACTCATTTCTAACAAAGCAGCACAATCTCTATCGAACACCAAGAAAGATGCAGAATCTGTGTTATCAACGACTCTTACTTGAACACTGAACTTGTGGCAATAAAACTGCATACATAAATGACACACAATTTTATATTGATACATATATATAAATACATAAAACAGACAAAACAACTTACTTTGGATAATAATCTTCCCAATATTATTGGCAGCTTTTACAATACCATTTTTCAAAATCTTCACACATTGGGTATGGACATTTCTGACATGATTTATACCACCAATTGTATCTACTTTCAATCAATTTTATGGTTCCATACGTAATGCATGTTGTGACCTCGCTGCAATTCTTAATATCACTTGTACATTTTCGTTCAGTGTCTTTCAGAAAATCATTTTCAAAAGAATATGATGATTGGCCAGACAACTGACTGAACTTCATATTACTGTCTATCAGATCATACGAAATCCTAAACATAAAATTATAGAGAAAAAATGTCAGTTCATATAATAATAATAATAATTGGTACAACAACTCGAATAACGCAGACACATCACCGAAGGATGTCCTAAACTACATCAGCTCAAATAGCAAATCACACATTTTTTTTGAAATCTACAACAGCTAGCACATTGGAGTCAAAAAGAATCTTTGTTGTATATTTGGTATTTGTTATTCCAATTTTACCTTTAAAAAAAACACACAAAATAATTAAAAGAGGAAGATGGACATGTAGAATAACAGTTTAATAAAAAAAACACCTTTGAAAAACTTTATCTTTGCAAGCTGGACTACTATCACATTCTGGGAAGACTGATCATTAGCCAAGAAATTTTGCACTTCGTCCACAAAATGTTCCCATAAAGGAAGACTGGTCACATTCTGGGAAGACTGATCACATTCTGAGAAATATTGGGGTTTTTTAACTATAACCAATTCAGTCACTTTAGTGGAAAATATCATTCTCACAGAATAAAATTTATAATAAGAAAATAATATCAAAAACAATAAATATAAGCCCAACCTATGTTCTTTTTTATCATATGAAGCTTAGTGGAGCAAATTAATAGAAAGAAAATATTTCTAAATAGTTTAGATTATGATGTATTTCTGATGTAATAGTGAACTTGACTTCTGTATAATTAAAGATTAATAATATTTTATCATATGTCTTATATTATATCTGCTGCGTTAGAATTTCACTTAAGAATTAATGTGATATCTTATATCCTAGTCAGTTATAAAGGATGTTACACACCAAAACACGATTATTTCACTTAAAATAATAAAAAAATTGTTATTTAAAACCACAAATGCTTTTCCTTTAAATTATACAATCTTAATTTAAAAATTCTATAAAACTATATACATGTACGTTATGATTTTACAACGAAATATTATACTTTTGATCTTTAATTTCAAAAACAAATAAATAAATTACGGGCTCCCTGGTTTTTATCGTAAAATTGTTTTATCATAGTTTGTAAATGAATACAATAGATAATATCAAAATGGAATTAATATTTTTTATATTATAAGAGATAATTATATCTTCCATACACACACAAAAGCATGTAAGATCATGTGAAGGGAAGAGATAGAAAAAAAAAAGATCTCCATATATTTTTGTGTATATATAAAAAATAAAATTATGAATACGGATCCTTATAACAACTCATATCGGCACACGAATGAATAAAAATAGATAGATACATCATCTTTAAACAAGTACAAAGAAATAAATATAGTGGTTAGCTTAATTAAATGAAAGTAATAAAGAAACTCAATCAGTGCAATTTAAAGATCATAAATATATGGCTATCAAAAAAATAAATTATAAATATATACGATCAGGAGTGATTATTATATTTTTAATTATTTAAAGTAGTTAGGTTCAGTGATAAGCGATTTATGATTTCATAAACTGAAGAGTCAAATCTTATTATAACCATGGCCTTTCGAATTAATGTTTCTTATATTATAAGAGATAAAATTATTTTTTATTCATATATTAAAAAAATATGAGATTCACATTTTTTTTTCTCTTCTCTTCATATGCTCTCTCATACACTTATATATATATATATATATAGGAGGTAATTTTATCTCATATAACATAAAAAAATATTAATTCTAGAACCATTCCTTAAAAATAACTTGTCTTAAACTGCACTGAATTTGGCATTCATACCTAACATTATTATGTAAAAAAAAGAAATCATGAATTTGTTTAAAAAATAATAATGCAATTAAACCCATAAGGAAATACAGGTGCACCAAAAAATTGTTACCTTGTCCTTTTTGCCTTTTGCTTGGTCAATTAAGTCTGAAGTCCACTTCATTTCGCTATCATCATTAATCCATTAAACATAAAAAACGACGCAAAAAAGCAGCATGGATTTGATCGCCAATTTTGGAGCCTAAAATAAGTAAAGGTGGCAAACCCTTTTTGATTATTGGTGGGCTTCAATAGCTGTTAATTGTTTTTACTACTAACTATTTTTTATAAACGGTGTACGTAAATTATAATTTTTTTGAAAACACAAGTGAGTCTATTAATCTAAGTTGCACATTTAAAAAAGTTGCAAATTTAAAAATTTAAAACAGAGATCGGTTTCCCTTCCCCAGTAAAAACGCAAAAAAGTATATATTTATTCTTCATTTGAAAATGAAAGTCACTCAGTGCTTATGCGAGGAGAGGTGACATTGCAACCATAATAATAGTTATATTATTGAATAATAATAAATAGGATAGATTATTTTACTTATCATTTTTTCTGTATATTTTTGCATACTATTCTTCAATACTGTTAGATCAGAATCTCAAAAAGAGAAAGAAAGATAAATGTTAGTTAAGATTCTGATATAATAATATTAAAAAATGACAAGTAAAGACAGAAAAATGATAGGTAAAATAATATATCACTCCTAATAAATAATAATAAAGAAAAAGTAAGGAAGAAGAGAACAAGGGTATTGGGCTTTGACATTAGAGAGAGAGAGAGTAATTTCGAATCAAGTAGGGATTAGCAGAGAATCAACAATGGAGTGTAGTACTCATCAACCTTGTTAGTGATCTCAGTCACGCTGTAAAATTGGTTTTGTTTTGTTTTGTTTTTATCTCTTGTGCTCTTTCTCTTTCTCTTTTTCTCTATATGCATATGCATATGCGAATATTGGAACTGCAATTGCAAAGCATTTCCGATCCAAAGGAAAGAGAACCTTTGTGACAGCTGTATCCACCGAAAGAAAATCCCCTTGAGAGATTAGATATTTGAGTGTTGTGTTTCTTCCGATTCGCAAGTGGCGAGATCCCTCTGTAAACCTAGGGTTTTCGCTTGTGAGAGCCATGGCGACTTCTTCGAGTTCTAGCTGGCGCGAGGGCATGTCCGCCGATAATATAAAGGGTCTATGCCTTGCTCTATCCTCTAGCTTCTTCATCGGTGCTAGCTTCATCGTTAAAAAGAAGGGTTTGAAGAAGGCCGGTGCTAGTGGAATCAGGGCAGGTATGGTGTACATTCTTTTTTCTTTTTCTTTTTCCTTCAAATCCATGTTCAGAGGAGTAAATGTGGGAATGGAGCAATTCCAGATTTGTTATGCTCGTAATGGATCCCATGAATAGTGGTGTCATCTTTTCCACCTCATTTGATTTCAGGTCTCAATACTAGTAAGGGGCTTTCAACTAGTAATTTTTTGTCGTGCTCCACTGATCTTTAGCTCCGAACTTAGTTGATTAATTTTGTTTACTTCCCACTCCTTTAATTTAGTGGATCGTGCGGGAAATGGATTATTATATTTTCTAAGGATCTTGAAGTTTTCTACTTTTCTTGAATAGCTAATCTCAAGTTTAAACTCGATGCCTTGCGTTACCAAGCTTTTTATATGTTCTCCTGACATTTTACAACCCAGATAGATGTAGAACTGGTGGATTGGGTATTGCCTTTGAACTTTTCTTTTGGGCTTGAGGCAAAGGGAAACAAACAGTTTGGGTTCTCATCCGTTTTCATGGAACTTTTTTGGTGATGTTGTTAATAATTCTTTTCTCGTGCTCCTTGGTATGGAGTGACTAGTGGTGAAAGATTATTTTAGCGTTGTCTTAGTTGTCACACTAGAGATGTGCATTTTATTTAACCTATTAACATTGAATATGAACATAGTTGAAGTCAATTTAAGTGGTTAATATTGGGGTGTTTTGTGGTTTCAGAAGATACAAGAATTGCTTGGCATAATTACTTGTTTATGGACCTGAACAGAAAATGGAGCTTGACCTGACCTGATCCTGCTATTAATGTTAAAAATATAGTGACTGGGCATATTTTATGTTGTTAAACATTTTCATTTCTCTCCAAGTTAATAGGACATCTTCTATTCACTTGGCTTGATTTATATATATGAAGTGGGGGTGGGTTTTTTTCCCATAAATTCATTTCATCTATGAATGAGTTGTTACATGCTTCATGTTTCTGTGTCTCGTGCATTTGCTTTCTCTGTCAAGATGGATATCATATACGTTAGTGCACTTATATTATCTTCCTGATATTAGTTTCTATTTTTTTGGTTCATTGTCTCTGATGGATCATCATGCACAGCAGCGACTGACTTCTCAAAAAATTATTTTTGACAGGAAGTGGAGGTTATTCTTACTTGTATGAGCCACTTTGGTGGGTGGGCATGATAACAAGTGAGTTGTACATGATTATATATGATTGTTTGGTTGTGGAATGATTAATGAATTGAATGCTGACATTTATTTTCATTAACAATCGTTGATGTGAATGCTTATTGATTGACCGACATTGGTGAACTGTAACATTGATTTTTCATTTTCCAAGCGTATCCCTACAGCTTCTGCTCTTTTTTCTTTTCCTCTTTTTTAAAAAAGTTCCTTGTTATTTTATAACTGCAGAAAGTAATTTAGTTACTAGATTTGTATAAATTGAATCCTTTGCAGAACCTTAACAAATCCAAAGAGGGGCATTCTTCTGTATGTTTTTCCCTTTATCCCTGTATGATTTTCAAACTTATAGCAAAAAGTCTCAAGTTTTAGGTTAAGTTATCTAACTTTCTGTAACTTATTATCCATATTTATGTAAAAAAACAGTAGCTAAAGTTTGTATCTTTTATATCTAATTTGTCTAACTTTTTTTTTTTGCTTCACACATTTTCCAAGGGAATATTTCTGCTCGGACACAAAAGCCTGCCAAAGAGACTAACAAAATTCCCACTTACAATTTATTGATCCGAGTTGCTTACAGCTAATGATATTAATCAGTGGACCAAAATTCCTATTCTAACACATTTGCAATTTCAACAGTGATTGTTGGAGAGATTGCCAATTTTGCGGCTTATGCGTTTGCTCCAGCTATATTGGTCACCCCTCTTGGTGCTCTTAGCATTATTATCAGGCATGATAAAAATTTAGCTTCAAATTGATGCTTGATTGACTCTTGTAAATTTTGATTTGTGATGTTGTCTTGCAGTGCTGCTCTTGCTCATATTATTTTACGGGAGAGGCTACATATATTTGGAGTTCTTGGTTGTGCTTTGTGTGTTGTGGGGTCTACGACAATTGTTCTACATGCACCTCAAGAACGGGAAATTGAATCAGTGACAGAAGTATGGGATCTTGCTATGGAGCCAGGTAGCCATGTTCCTATCTGAAATATTACTCTCTTTACAAAAATATCATATCAGATTACTGACCAAGACATATTGATTCTCTTGCAGCATTTGTCTTTTATGCAGCTTTGGTTATAATAGCTGCCTTCGTTCTTATCTTCCACTTCATTCCTTTATATGGCCAGACACACATACTGGTTTATATTGGTGTTTGTTCTCTTGTAGGTTCTCTATCGGTATGTCTCATCATAGAGTTGTTCATGAATTTCTACTAGTATTTGCTCTCCTCTTGTTATCTTATTATTATTATTTTAATATTGTAAGGTTTCCTTTGATAGGTAATGAGTGTTAAGGCTCTTGGAATTGCAATAAAGTTAACTCTGTCAGGGATGAATCAACTACTTTACCCTCAAACTTGGGCATTCACTCTAGTTGTAGCTGTTTGTGTGCTTACCCAAATGAATTATTTAAATAAGGTATGATACCTTTTCTCATTAGTCCCTAGAATTTATATTTATTTGAAGTTCTATCTTGTACTTCTTTTTGTCAACAATCAACAAGTTCCATCGTGCACTTCTTTTGGGCATTTGCTTTAGTTATAACTGTTTGTGTTCTTACACAGATGAATTATTTAAATAAGGTATGGTTGCCCTTCTTGTTAGTTCCTTGGAAATTTATATTTATTTGAAGTACTATCATGTACTTGTATTTGTCAGCACTCAACAATTTCCATCGTGCACTTCTTTTGGTCAACAAGTATCATGTACATGGAATTGGTTTAATTGATTTTCCATTATACCATTCAGTGAAATCCGTGGACATATCATTTATTTTATGTTTATGCTTTTTGTAAATGCTTTTTTATTTTTGAACAATTAATTGTGTCCTCTTTTCTTGATTTTGTTGATAAGAATATAAAATTGTTCAAGGGATAGTTATTTATCTTCTCATCTGAATTATGCATGATTTGTTTCTTGAACCATAAGTCTGTTTCGTATGGAAAACCTTTAACTCAAATCATATTACCATCACATATGACCCTGGGATCTTTAAGTGAACTTCTGTCATTGATTGGGAATTTTATCCCTTAATGTAAAATAAAGACTGATTTGTCATATCCACTCTTTAATGAGTAAATAGCATCAAATATGTAAGCAAGTTGAAAATGTAAAATATTTGTTTTTTTAATGATAAAAGCAAGTCCCAAAAACTTGATAGAAGAATCGACATCAAAATGAGAAAAAAGGTTCAATACGGAACACGAGGAGTTTGAGTTTGACTCTCTTGTTTGTCATTTGGCCAAGAATTCCTATTCTTGTCTTTTAATGCTTTTGGGAAAACCCTTAAGCTAAGCCCCTTCCCTTCCAACTCTAACCTCCTATATTATTACTTTGTAAATAATTCCATAACTTCCTAACTTCTTGGGCCCTATCAGTTACCGCCTCCGAGAAATTCCACCTTGTCCTCTGGGTGGAAAGTGGGGATTCCCCCTGCATGAGAATTCCCACTGTTCATCTTCCCAGTTCCCACAGTGTTTTACCCGCATGATTCTGGGCAATCTTCCCTGTCTTCCTTCAGTTGATCATCCTCTACCAAAATGGTAACTCATATCCTCCTTTTTGGATAGCAGTGCATCAGTCCTAAGGGTTGGCCACATTGGATGCTCCACTTGTCGCACTTCTCTGTTTTGAGGTGGGTATGAGCTGCTACTGCTGGGTTTTATTGCTGTTTGATTTGGAAACTCCATACTCCTTGCACACATCAAATTGTTGCACATATTCCTCTATCATCCCTGTTTGTCATAACGTGGTCAGCCTCTCGTAAACATTCCCCACACAACTTTCACCAAACCTCTGGATCAATGCTTCTGTGAGCCCTTCCGATGATAAATACGGTGTTTTTTTCCCCAGAAAATGAAATCAATGCCATCAATGCTAATACATGCTAGCCGCATTGGTGAGCCCTTTGCACGAGTATATAATAGAAGGAAGAAGAGGGTGAGGGCTGTATCAGTGAGCAAAAGTCCAGAGTAAGCAAATTGATTATAAAGGGCAGAGGAGAAGGGAATGAGTTAGTTAGAAGAGGGGACACGCGGCTGAATGAGGTGGAAAAAGGAACATGTGAAGGAATGACGGTTTGTGGGCAGGATTGAGGTTATTAAGTAAAGGGGGGAAATTGAGGGAAGGGTCTTGTATTGAGTGAATCTTGGGTGGGTTTGGCAGTACCTATGAATTAGGATGAGACTTCAATGTACTGTTGTGTAGTCATGGATGTCAATTTGAGCATGATCCTGCTACTTATTAATAATGTGCAATTACTTTTACATATTGTCATTCCTCTCTCTCTCTCTTTTGGTTTGATGGCTAATTCTTTCTTCTTTATAATTCATATGATAATGATTTTTTATTTCTGCAATCAGGCACTGGATACTTTTAACACTGCAGTGGTGTCTCCCATATATTATACTATGTTCACAACACTAACCATCGTGGCTAGTGTTATCATGTTTAAGGTAAGTTTTGTTGCCTATCATTGGACACCGCTCATTGCTTTACTTTTAAGGCTCTATATATTATGTTACAACAATCAGATTGACTACATATTGTATAATCTTTTTTTTTTCTAAGCCTCTTGGCCAACAATTATATTTAAGTTTAAAGTGTCTTTCTTTATACACTATGTTTTTGTTTGAATTCCATTGCTTTTATTATAACAGCATAATAGAAAGCAATTGTTAAAAAAGATATTAAGACATTCAGATTTAAGATTCTTTTACGCTTTAACCTGTTGCTTTAGATTGCTTCATCACTCACTCCTTAGTCTTCGTTAGTCACAGAGAAATCAAGATTTAAGATTTCTTTTATGCTTTAAACCATTGCTTAAATTGCTTCATTAGTCACTCCTTAGTCTTCTTATAATTTAAATTCATGCTCGATTTTTGTCAGTCGTCATTGGACTCTATTGTGGACTCCCTTTCTTACTAGTTTGTTAAGGAGCTGTCTAATATCTTCTTAGTTTGTTAAGGAGCTGTCTAATATCTTCTTGTTTTTGTGTTGAAACAAGATCCTTAATGATGCTTATCTACTGGTTGTTGTCTAGAACTGTGAACCTAATATTATTTGCTAGTCAAATTTCTCTTAGTGGGTCCCACATAGTCCATCCGTGATGAACTGCTTGCGAATGAAGAGGGAGACGAATGTTGTTGTGAGTAAATGTCTGCTGAGACATTTACATATAGAAGATGTGAAAATTGTATGCAAACTCATATGTTCAATAGGGTGTGAAGGTTCTTTTGCTCTTTCCCTTAACCAAGCATACAGACATGCAAATCCTGTGGTGCACAAATAAGAACTGGTTTTCTTTTATTTTCATAATTTTGATCGTCTTGTATTTGATGTGTAGATGCATTAGTTTAATTGTTATTTATACATTCAATGTCTGTTCACTATTTTTGAAGGTTGACCTTTGATTTGAGAATTGAATTTGATATCAGGACTGGGATAGACAAAGCCCAACACAAGTTATCACGGAAATATGTGGGTTCGTGACAATACTTTCAGGAACTTTTCTTCTGCACAAAACTAAGGATATGGTTGATGGTATGCTGCAGCAATCGAGTTATAGTAATTTCACGTGACTTTAGATTACCCTCTTTCCTGCTCACATGCACTTTCTGGTGTAAGGTCTTGAAGTTTTAAAACATGGTTTATTGATATTATCTTTATATGCAGGTTTGCAATCATCTATTAGACTTCCTAAGCATTCAGAAGAGGATGGCTTTGATGATGGGGAAGGCATTCCTCTTAGACGGCAAGAATCCTTGAGATCACCATGATATGTTCCGCGCATAACATCTTTCATATCTTGACGAGCTTGAGGCACTGGGGAGGGACTTTGCCAAGGTCATCGTGTATTTTACTGATTATTTCCCTCCCCATCATATTTTTTTCCCGGTACAGTTGGAGTGGAAGGATGAAAGTTTCATATCATTGTTCTTTTGGCGTCCTGATGAATATGGTTTCTGATCTTGCCTTGTATACCCCTTCACTCCATTTCGAAGACAAAGGCCAATGTAATTTTCTGCACGCTGTTTTTATATAGTGTATCTCAGTTAAATGAAAGTATTCATCATCAAATTTTGAACTGGATAGCGTAGCAGTATTATCAGTATCTGCCATTTGAACTCGAGCTGACCTCGATATTCCTCTTTGCACTTATCAGAGCAAAATATGGAAATCAGATATGTAGATTTTCAGGTCCAATGAGTTGTTCAAAACATGCCTGAGGGCTCTGTTTTGAATTTTAATAACCATATAGTTTCAGCACATGACACCCCTGGAGCGGCCCTTGCGTCTTGCTGTTGCCGCCGCCGCTGCTTCTTAACGGAATAACAGAATTCAAGGGCCATGGCTTGTTTTTCTTGTCACTTGATTAATATATTCTTAACATTCATCATAGCCTTACCTAGATGATGAGGGAGTTTTATAACTTGAATTCCTTTCGAGTTAGTTCGGCTAAACTTGAAGAATCGAGGAGGATTTTTGGGGTACAAAAAGAGTAATTTCATGCTAAATTTAAAAGGATTTGTTTTCTTTTATAAGTGATCATAACCTCAGCGTAAAATAATTTTAAGAGTCGACTCATACTCATCAATTCTGGAGTAAAATAATGATGTTTTATAGGATTGGGTTAAGTGCATGTCGTACTTCACAATAATGAAAATAATGAAAATCGTTTCATTTGTAAACAGCTATTAACATACGTTTAGAATTAATTTTGGGAAAATTATTGTTCAGTTCGTGCTAACGGTAATGTTCATTAAACACCACAGATTTCATACAAAATCCAATATAAGCAGCATATTTTTATTCTTTATTAAATTAAAAATTATATTAACATCTTGATTCCTGATTACTCGAACTTAAAAAAGATTAAGTCTTTAAAATGTATTACAGGATAAAAAAAATGTAGGGCTAATTGATCAAATTGTCCCCTTTTAAAAAAATTATTAATTTGACCCGGTTTTTAAGTTATATATTATTTTGCCCCTGTTTAACCAATAAATGGTTTACTTAAACAAATGATAGATAATGGCATTAAATTAAAAAAAATGTTCAAATTAGCATTAAATTAATATTAAATTTATTAAATAAAATACTATTTAAAATTATAAATAATTTTTGTATAATCTTTTGAATCCTGGAAAAATTAAAAATGTTATTTTTCAAAAATTCCATGTACTCAACTTTTTTAGGCAAAGAAGGGAAGAATTTTTTTTTCAATAATCACGTTATTTTTTTGAATTTATAAGAATTTTTAAATAGAATTCTCATTTATATGGTGATATTTCAAAATTCCTTCAAGTTCAAATATATTAAATTTATCATTAATAATGATAATTTGATTATAACATTTTCCCTTTTCATCTAAAAAATTCAATGTACTCAAGTTTTTGGTAAATAAAAAAAAGGAAAATCAATAATCAATGATAATAATATGTCTGGTGCCACCTGAGCATGGTGATAGTTTTTTTCTTAGAGATCTCGACTCTTGGCTTCATTTTAATTATAATTTGCAGTCTACAGATAGTACTATGCTGAATTGGTTGTCCGTCTTTTTTGTAGCTTGTTGGAAATCTTAGGTGTGGAGAAATGAAGTTTGTCATGGCTCTACAATGCCTTCGGTTATTGATAGAGTAAGGTTTATTAGAAATCTTGTTGATGATATTCAGCATGCTTGTTCTACTCAATCAAACCGATATGTGAAAAAAAGAACTATGGTTTTGGATATTTCATGGTTCATGATTATGGTATGATTAAAATCAATTTTGATGGTGCTGCTCATGGTAATTCTAGTTCTGCTGCTTGTGGTGGTATGATGAGGGATGCCAATGGGAGATGGTTGGGTGGTTATGCTTATCGATTGTGTATTTGTAATGCTTTCAGAGCTGAATTATTGGGGGTGCTTAGGGATTTGGAGATGGCTTGGAGCTCAGGCTATCGCAATGTGATGATTAAAAGTGATTCTTCTAGTGTAATCACTTTGCTATCCATGAATGGTATAGCAATCCGTGAGTGTCATCTAATATCTCGCATACGGATTTGGATTCAGAAAGATTGGACAGTTTCTTTTCATCATACATTTCGAGAAGGCAATACTGTTGCTGATTGGTTGGCCAATTTTTTACTTGATTATCAAGAGCAGCCTGATAAAAGAGTTTGGTGAAATCCTCCTCCTGGTGTTTATTTTTTGTTGCTTGCAGATTTGGCTTCTGTTTATAGACCACGTGAGGTGGTTTGTAGTCCTTAGGTGTTCTTTCTGTCTATTTTCCCTTTTATTTCTTTGGGCTTAGGCCTTTTATTTACCAAAAAAAATATGATTATTATTTAGAAATTTTTATGAATTAAAAAAATATCAAATTTATTATCAATAATAATAATATGATTATTAATTTTGCTTTTTCTTTTCTTATTTTCCAAAGAAAAAAAGAATTGAATTTTTTGATTTTTCAAAAAATTTTATTGATTTCTTTTTCTTTATCATCAACAATATAAATATGATTATCGATTTTTTTTTCTTTATTCCAAGTAGTCCAACTCACTCCTCTTACATCTATTCATTGATCCAAAAAATACATAAATTTACTTAAATAAATATCAAATAATGAATGGTGTCACCACACATGAGACTTCACCGGTCTTATTTAACCGTATAAAGATAATATCGCAGCGTATGTGTTCAGAGATATCTTATAGATAGACATTTTGATTGACTTATAGCTAATATCCAATCATTGTACACAATTAATAGACTTATAACCAAGACGTGGGTATGTGCACTGTGTGAGTAAAAGTAGTAAATGAGTTCAGAATGTGTACATGAGGATCTTTATCCTTTTATTGATAGGGTTTACTTCTTGAGCTTAGGCTGTGTAGATCTCCTAGTTGATGTAGGATTCAACCTCTTATTTGTAGAGATAAGGGTTTTATTTTTTATTATCTTTATTATTTTATGCTGTTAAGATAATTATATCATTATCCATTAAAAAATTCATGGATAGATAATTAAAATATGAATATAATTCCAGACTATTTTATTAACTTTCGGTAAATGACTAAATGAGAACAGATTGTGATAAAATTTGGAATGTGAGACAAATCCGTTACTTTTATTTTATTTTTTTATAAAAAAGCACAATTCGATCCATTAGCTAAAAATATAGTGTTGATGAATATAAAACTCATTTAAAATAGTAATATCGTAAAATAAAACAGGAAACGATATTAATAAGTATTTGAAACATTTACGAAATACGATGATAAGAAAAGGAAAACAAAAAAAACCTTTGTACTTGTACTGTTGTCTGGCGTAGGTGGTGGGAAGATAGAAGGAGTTGGGTGATGAAGTCAAAGGGTGTTGCGATTGCGAAGTAGCGTGTTGTTCCCTTTTCCCAATTCCGAGAAATGGAACGCGTGAAGGTAGCATGTCTTCTGTGGTTGCGGGGTTTCAGAGAGGCTTGTTGCCTTCATCGCGTTGTTGTTCTGTGTCTTAGGTCGAGAAGGCTTTTGGTGCGAACTGGACAGTGTTTCCTCTTAAATGGTTTCATTTTCTTAGGAAGGTTATTTCTTTCCTCCACTTTTATATTCAATTTTCATCTTCCTCATTCATTTCCTATTTCTATATTTTCTTACTCTTTTGTTTTTACAATCAACAATTAAATCACTATAATTCGGCACTGGGAATTCATATTTTGCAATCCAATGAATGTGAATGTTTATTAGTTGCGTTGTGTGTGTGACTGTATTCGGCACAAGGAGATGTTATCAGAGATAACAGAGGTGGATTTCGATGGTTGAACTGAACAATTGACTGCAGTTTAAGGTCCTTAGTCTCCTTTTTCTCAGTTGTTGCAGTAGTTGTCTAAAGTTTATACTTATAGTCTCAAAACTTGCGTGAGTATTATTTTTTCTCTTCTTGTTTCTTTTGTAGCTACTATCTTATATATCCTACCAACTTGGTTATTATTCATAACAAGAAAATAATATTTTTCTGTTTTTCATTCACTTCTCAACCAAGTTATTATGGATAATGAAGTCCGTGGTTTTGTCCGGCTTTAAGGATATTATTGTCTTAAGAGTTCATCCATTCCATCTCTCTTTTGACCTGTTCTTTATGGTATTTAGTAATATATTTTAATTTGGGATGATGAATTTTGAGATCTGAAACATTGATAATGATAGCCTTTTCCTATGGCACTATTCCATCAAAATCAATTTTTTTTCCTCCAAATTCTATGAATAGACATCTCAAATTGAGCTCTTGTGAGTTTTCTGTTCTTGGATGAGGGGGCAGGATCTGCAGAAGGATATAGCTCATGAACAAATATGTATACTTTTGACGTAATGACAGTTTGAAGATGACTGGAATAAATGTGATTAATGATTATTGGTTGTTGCCTGCATATTTTTGTCGTCCGTGGATTGTCCTTCACAAATCAAGCATCTACAATCTACTTGTTTGATAATAATTTGAACATCTTTAAATTTTTGTGCAGTCTATTCGTCCTAAACTCGTTTGTGATCCCTGCATTGTGGTGGATATTACCTGATCAATGCTCACAGTTTGTTTCTCATAAACCGTGTGACACAGCTGGCACTTTGAAATTTTATTCTTTCTTACGTCTTGCACTCGTTCAGCTCTTTTATGTAAGTATGAAATATACTGTTTTTAAAGTGCACATTGACCACAAAAAATATCTTAATGCTGCCACTTTCCTTCCATGTTCTCCATATAGAATTTTGTTTGCCTTTGTAACTTGAATGTGATATAAATGCAGAAACAAAAATATTACTTTGGCAATGAATGTGATAATGTATTTTCTGCAATATAATTCACCAAAATAAGGTAATTCGGTTCCATTAATATCTTGCTTTGAGTCAGATTTTTACCAATAAATTACTCCACATGATTTGTTAGAAGTAAAATGAACTCATTGACCCAAACATTGATTTAGAAAAGCATGGAAGGTTTACTAGAAGTAAGAAGTTTCAAAAGACAATACTTGGAAAGCTAGTTGCATACTTGCTCAGAGGATTTTTCTCTTTTTCATTGTTAAAATGGATTTGAGATATCTTTCTGCATCTAGATTGCATGAGAAAAAGCTCTGAAGTTGAATGTTTTTTTCCAACTAATCTTTTGTGATTGTCCTTCTGATTGTTCCCTGCAGGTGCTTTGGTTTTACCCATTATATGTGTTCAGTATTGTTCTAAGTGCCATCTGGTAATATTATCTTTTCAATCTTCTTTTTCCCCATCTTTATTGTCATGTATACATCATCTTTACTCAGTAACGAACTTTTTTAAATCAGGTAAAACAAGAGAAGTCCTTTTAGGAGGATAAGATATTCTCCAAAAGATCGTAAGAGCACAAAAAGTAGACATAGTATGGCCCTCCTATCCCATTCTGTACCCATATAAACAATCCTACCGAAATAAATATTCTGGGTTGCTTCTTTTGCTATCCAAAACCTATGCTGGACTGAAATTCTCTTTGGGAATTCTAGCTTATGACTCCAACATAAATGTCAAACACACTGATAATGCCAAATAATGTTTGGCTCCATAGGAAAGTTCTTTGACTTTGTCATGTTCGCATTGCAATAACAAGCAAATTATTCTCAGTTTTTGATATCCATCTCCAGTAAACTATTATATAAAGTGGATATGAACTAGTATGTTATTTCACTTTTTGTTGTCTAAATGAGAATTGCTAACAGAACGTTTTTAGGTACAATGACATTGCCAAGTTTGGGTATGCTGCAATGGGAAGAACTAAGTTTACTGTTGAGAAAGGTTCGGGCCAAAACAACGCACCAACTGTACAAATTGCTTATGATGCAAAAAGACCATCTGGCCTGGGAGGGTAAGGTTCTAATCAATACTTTCTTCATGCTGCTATATTTTTCTTTCCCCTTTTCTGATTGCTATTAGTTCTTAGTCTTAATAGCTAAATCAGTGCTAAAGTGTTTGCTTAACCCAGGGTCATGATTGGAATAGGAGAGCAGGTGTACTCGGTACTCCTTTTGAGCGTTTTCTTTCTTGAGGTAATAAAATCATTGTAATTTCTGTTTCCATTTTGAGAAGATAGTATATATGCCTTGATATGCAGTAAACTATGTTTTGCTTCATTTTATCTTTATTATTTAGATAACAAGCAATTTCTAATGTTACATGCAGGTCTATGCAACAGGATTCATACCGTACATTGGGAAGGTGCTAAATTTTTTACTCCTTTCCTGGATGTATGCATATTACTGCTTCGAGTATGTGGTTCATATACTCCTTTGCTTAATGTCCTCCTTTAACAGTTGGGTATGCTTTTTAAACGTATCCTTTTTTATTAGGTACAAATGGAATTTCAACGAAGTGGCTCTTGATAGAAGGCTGCACTACTTTGAATCTTACTGGGCGTTTTTTGCTGGCTTTGGTAATTTTTTTTAATTTTTTTATCACATTAACTTTATCAAGTATACTTGTTTGTTTAACTCGAGAAAATTCGTATATTCAGATCATGTTTTATATTGGTTCTTCTGAGATAAAACAACTTATGATACTAGCCTTAGGAAGAAGAGCTGCTCTATTTTTTCTGTATATTTGCTAGTAAGAAATAAAACATTAATAAGTCTCCGTAATATTATGTGTGAGAGACAATGGTATGGGTTGTCTGTGAAAGGATAACTGAGGGAATAGGGATGAGGGTTGAGGATTTTCAACTTTGTGGAGTGTGAGTGAAGATATTAAGCAGAATGTCATATAATTCCATAAATGCTGCCTTTGTGGCCTGTTGAAGTTTAAAATTCAGTCTAACATTATTTATGTTGTTGAAAAATGTTGAACTGTGGAACAATTTGTATAGTTTGTATTATACTTTATCCTCTGCTTCACTTCATGTTTGAGATTAATTAGTAATTTATGTCCTTACAGGAAGCCCTTGCGTTTTAGCCATATTCTTTTTCTCGCCTCTTGTGGGTTATGGCATTATGGCTATACTTTTTCCACTGGTATGTGCTACTGTGCTGGTTTTTCCCTTCTATTTCTGTTTCTTCCTCCCACGTTGAATTAACTTTTTGGTTTTTTTTTTTTTTTTTTGCATTTCCTTTTGTTATTCAAAACCTTAATATCATGTTATATTATTATGAATCAATGATTGTAAATTAGTGACATGAATTGTATATTTCAGTTTGTTCTAACTGCAACTGGGTCTGAGGCTGAGCAAGAATCCTTTGAAAAAGACAAATGGCGAGCTACAGGAGTCGATAGACTCCCAATATTTTATGTTGCAGATAATGTGTCGTAAGCTCATTATTACTCATCCCTTTGCTTTAGACTGACATTGCATTATTAAACTCAGCTACTAAGGCAAGTGACCCAGATGGGCACTCGTGTGGTGATTAATGCCTAATGGCCTTATATTATAAATTCGCCAAGTGCTATAGTAAGTGCAAGTTGTTTCAACTATGATGCAAAATGCATTTATCTGTAATTATTTGACAATTATGATGTTGTCAAATCCTTGTTAGTTACCATACACTTTTTTCACCGTACTCTGCTCGTATATGCTGCCTCTAAATACACTGACTTATGTAGTTGACGATATATATGAAAGTCATTAGGTATTCTGGTCTGTTTAATTGAAATTTTCACCATATGCTGTGCTATAGATGGAATATGCTACTACTCATGAACGGAATTTGTTGGAGCTCTTTCTTAATATTATTGTTATTATTGTTTGGCTATGAGCGGATATTGAACTTTACCTTTCCTTCTCTATTTTTATTTTTTATCAAGAGAATTGGAAAAGGAATTGTATGACATTATACTGTTATTCTAAATCTAAATAAATCTTGAGTTTCAAGTGAAAGGTCAAGCGTCTTAACAAATAATCCTAAGACGTTCGTTAGTTGATCTCATTTTTCATCTCTGAGCTAAATTTGGGTGGTCAATATATATCATAAACCTCTGCTATCTCTCATTCTGTTTTGCTGGTGAAGTTAGGATATAGAATGCTGTTAAGGGGCTAAAGGAAGGGTGATGATAAGATATCTTTCTTAATCAGATTTTCTAATTAAATTAGGATGAGATTCGTTTATGAAATTACTCACTATTATTAGATGACCAAAATGTCTAATAATGACCAATGGTAATGGGCTTGCATGATTGTATTATGAAGTACGTAAGGAGTTATTAGTTTTTACTAGTAGACCTGACCTTAGTTATTATCATTTTAGCCACATATTTTGATTATGTTTATATAGGATGTGGATGTTATCTCTTTTACCCCTGGAGAAACGGGACCAGATGCAAGACAGAAAAGAACAATAAGATTGTTGTAGTCAATGATTCTGGCATAACTTATGATTGGTAAGAAAACTAACTGTGTCCGCCGATGACATATTTATTTTATACTTTTTACTTGCATTGTGATTTACTATGCAACATTTTTTCAGCTTATATGGAATTTCCCACCACCCTCCCCCTTTCTCATTTACTAAAAGTTGGTTAATTTGTTTTGTTCGATATGTCTTGTCTCCTGTTTAATGCTGCAGAATAAATGTTATGTAACAAGCTGATGCGGTGGACTACTCACTTGGGGTACATGACTTCAGAATTCAGATGCTGAAGGTTTAAGCCACTAACTGCTACCACACCCAAAGTGGACCACGTCGTTTGCATTTTAGGAATCCTTCCACCACTACCCTTTACATCGTAGAGATTATACTGAATTTAGGTTACAAGCTACGTAAGTCTATGCATGCTAACAACCGTAATCGATATATTATATTTAGAGTGACATGGTCATTGAAATGTGCAGTGTGTTAATATATCCATATTTTCCTGCCTTACGCTGTTAGAATCGTATAATGTGAATCTTGATGTGCAGTGATGGGATACAAGTCTTTGAAACTTTTATCATCTAAACAGATGTCATGGTAGATCACTTACGGATTTGAGATTATAGACTTAAAAAAAAGAAATATTGGAACTTTTGAATTGTTGACGTTTCCAAATATGAGTTTGGGTGAAGTAAGAATTTGTTATTTTGCGATATATCTACATTTTCGTCAAACACTAAGCATTTTTTGAAAGAAATATTTAATATAAATAATTTAACTCCAAATCTGTTTTAAATAATATTAATTTTATAAAATTAAAATTATTCAAAAGTAAATTTGGAAACACTCATTGAAACCCACATTAAAGAGTTGGTTACATAAATATTAGTCAGATTTGTCTATTTTACTTAAAATAATGAGAAAGTATATTTATTATTTTGTCAAATACAATTAAATATAAATAGGGTTTCGTATTAATTTTAACTAAAATAACAATCTTTTAAAACAACATATATTTCTCCCCATATATATTAAAACATCAAAGCAAGACATTTTGGTCACTTCTTAGTATGTGAAATAGCATATTATACTTCTAGAAGGGAAAAAAAAAACATCATAGGATACCCTAGTTTCTATTTTATTATCAGCAGACCAAACTAAACTTTCACCCACTTTACAAGAAAAATTAATTTTTTTATGTAAATAAAGAAAAAAATGGAAGCGTCCATGGGTTATCTTTATCCCTTTGGCATTGTTTAGAGATTAGCTTTCCTTGCACCAAACCGCAAATCCCGCTAGGAAAACTATCAAATGGGATTACTAATATTATATAATAATAATAATCATTTTACAAGACTTTTAATAACATTTTTAAGAAAGGGAAGCACAAGTTTTGACCTAAGAGTTAAAATAATAGAAAAAAAAAGTATTTTGTTTATTTAGGTGCATATTGAAATATGTGTTATTCAGTGTTTAAGGAAAGGACATGAAGGAAGAATGATGATAGAGGCAGAGAGGATGATTATGATGGTGATCTGAATAAAGAAAGCGACGGCCAGGATGAATTGTGGTCACGGATGTATAGTGTACATCAACTTTGTATTAAGTATTGTGTGGGACCACCGACCCCTCTTCACCGAATAAGTGAATAGCGAATAATAATAATGCAATGAAGATAAAGTACCACGCGCTTCACGTGCTCCAATCGTAAGGCTGCCAAGTGCGGGTTTGGTTTGCTTGCAAGTGCCGCGCGTGGACTTCAATTTAGGGGACAATGATTCTCTTCTTCCCGCCCCCGATCTCTGTCTCTGTACTCTCTCTTTTTTTTTTCCCTGTATTTCTTTTGGGTAAACCTTCTTCCACTGTTTTTGCCACCACATAACAAATATAATAAGAATAAAATATTTGTTCTTTTAAAATATAATTTTATTTATTATTTATTTAATATTTAAAATAATTTTTTTAATTTTCTTCTATCATAATTTTTGTTTCTCTTTTTATAAAATATAGTAATTTTGATTAAAATAACATAAAAAACAATATATATATATATGAGATGTCAAACTTTAAATTTGACACTGATTTAAAGTATCATACCTATATATATATATATATATATATATATATATATATATATTTGCCTCCAATTTTAGCTGTGGTTTATGGTATAGATCTTCATAAGTCAGAAATAATTACCTGTATACGGTATTTGGTTCAAAAGGAGTCATGTCATGTGCAACCATTTTTGAGAGGAAGTAGAAATATTAGTTTAAAAAATATTTGTAATAGTTTGCAAGAGAAAACCAAAAGAAATAATTACCTGTATACGGTATTTGGTTCAAAAGGAGTCATGTCATGTGCAACCATTTTTGAGAGGAAGTAGAAATATTAGTTTAGAAAATATTTGTAATAGTTTGCAAGAGAAAACCAAAATAAAAATAAAATAATACTATTTGTAAAAAAATATAGCTGATATATATATATATATATATATATATATATAATGTAAGATCCTTTAACACTGATCATCTGAGAGTCATTAGATAAAAAAAAAAAATCAACGACGTTGATTTGTAAGCACGTGACACCATTGATCTTTTTTGATCTAATGGCTCTCATAAGAGGTGTCGAATTTCAAATTTGACACCAATGTCAAAGGATCCCACCTCTCTCTCTCTCTCTCTATATATATATATATATATATATATATATATATATATATAAAAGTAAAATAATTTCTGCAGTCACTTTATGTACACTAACGACAGGTGTATGGTTATGATTCTCCACATTTAATACTGTCACACTTTGTATGGTTATGATTTTTCACATTTAATTTTGTCCTACTTTGTATAGTTATGATTCCCCGCATTTAATACTTTTAAGTATATATATAGCAAGTATTTGATTGCTCCACGTACAGCAGCTGCAGAAATATAAATCCTATATATATATATATAGAAAAACATTTCTCAAGCAGCTTGAGATAAGTTTATCTCCGGCTATCCCAAAACTACGTCGTTTTATTTATTTATTTATTTTCTTATATTAATTGATTCACCTTTGAATGGTTATGATTCTCTTTTTCTCTCTTCCTTTATCACCATTGATTCATCTTTGTACGGTTATGATTTACTAGCCGGAGATAAGATTATCTCAAGCAGCTTGAGAAACGATAAGCTCATATATATGGTCAGGATCATTTTACACCAGTGTAAGTTACACTCTTAATCTTGTCTGTTGATCCCACTTATATATAAGGGCTCTAATTTTTTAGTAACGTGAACCATTGGTTACAAGTGGATCAATGGTCAAGATTGAGTGTAAGAATATCCTACCTAGGGGTGGTAATATGGGTTGAGCCTGGCGGGTCAACCCGCCAAAACGGGGCGGGTTGAGTTGAGATTTTCAACCCACCAACCCACCTCAACCCGCCCCGTCTAGAAGTGGGTCAAAACGGGTTCAACCGATGCAGGGCGGGTTGACCCGCCGGGTTTTAAATTTTTTTATTATTTTTTTTATTTTTTTACAATTAGGTAGTATTTCATTAGTACTTAAATTTTTGTGATATTCAATTTTTTTTATCTTAGTACTTTCTAGAAAAAATAAAGAATAACAATTTTATTTATGACAAATGTTATCTATTTATAAATTCCTGAAGAATGCTTGACAAATATTAGTATACATTTAAGATTGAGACTAAAAAAAATATAGAGAAGTGTGAAATAAAATAAAATAATATTAAAAAAATTCATAAAATATAATTTATTTTTGAATTTTAATTAATTTTTTTTTAATTGGCGGGTTGACCCGCCAACCTACCATAAAACGGGGTGAGTTCATTTTTACAACCCATATTTTTTGGCGGGGCGGGTCAACCCAAATTGCCACCCCTAATCCTACCCCCCCCCCCCCCCCACACACACACACACACACACACACACACATATATATATGATTTGCTCTTTCTGCAGTTACTGCAGATAATTATCTGCAGTAAGTCCAATACGGCGTCGTTTTGGGACGAAAATAATAGTGTTTTTGTAATTTCAATTTATTTCAAGGTTAAGTCTTTATAATTATAATTTTCTAATCTTTCAATTCCAAAACGATGTTGTTTTAGAAGTAAATGCAAATAACTTATCTGCATTAACTGCAGAAATATTTTCTGATATGTATATATATATATATATGTGTGTGTGTGTTGGGATAAGTGTGTATCATTTTAAAGGACGCAAAGTTGTGTCATTTTAATTAAGAGAAAGAGATAAACCATGGAAGAGAGAGTGGGGGAAAAGTTTTAAAGATGTGGGTCTCATCTTTTTGTGAGTAAAAGGATGTAAGGTGTGTCATTTAAAATAACACCAATATATATATATATATATATATATATATATATATATATATATATGAGTTCGCTTTTTCTGCAGTTACTGCAGATAGGTTATATGCAGTAAGCTCAATACGACGTCGTTTTGTGATGAAAATTATGGTGTTTTTGTAATTTTAATTTAATTCAGGGTTATTATTGTCTTTATAATTATAATTTTCTAATCTTTTAATTCCAAAACGATGTCATTTTTAAAATAAATGCAGATGACTTATCTATATATATATATAGTTTTATGATAGATACATAAAATTACATCTGAAATTAAATTGTCATGTTGAAATTTCTATTTAAAATTCAAATCCAGCTATAGAAACCGCTTTTGCAGTACAATAAATAGGGAATCCAAAGTATCACTGTTCTACATATAGCAAATAAGGGTAAATGGTTAAAAGTGTGAAGTGATGAAAATGGGGGAAAAAAAGGAAGAATGATTGGGCAATGAACAGAGGGAGTCATCCGAAATTGACTGTTCAAGTCAACACCGAAGTCATTTTCGTTGCCGCCCTGGCTTATACACAACGTTACCATCGTTTTAATTATTCACCCTCATTTTTCTTCCTGATTTTGAAGCTACAATTGATTTTCTCTCTTTTCTTTTTGTCTTTTGCCCATCCCAATTGAATGTTTCAACTTTCCTGTTTTGACAAGCCATCCACTAATCATCTTATTAAAAGATAGATTTTTGTTGTTATATTCTGTGCAATTATAACCAACATATACCGCTAGAAAGTGCATTAGCCAATATATAAATCATACAACGGGTCTTAATATTTACATGAATAATTCATTTAAATATTATAGTATTCTAAATGTCAAAGCATGCTATCATGCTAAATACACACATAATAACGAATATGATAGGTATAATAAAGTAATAATTGACTGCCGTCGTTCAATAATTTTTTTTTTTTTTAAATTATGACAACGTATATTTTCTTTCCTTCATACTTTCTGATAATCATCGCATCTCATCTTTTTTTATTATTTGTTTTTTTGTAATTAATCATCTCTCGTCTTTAGTAATTAACAAAATAAACATAAAAATATGGTGTGGCCGGGATATAAAAGAAAAAATGATTGAAATTTTTAAAAATATATAACTAACAAATATAAAATAATATATTTAAAGGAGAAAAAATAAATTGAAAGGACAGAGAGAGAGAAGGCAAGTGGGGGAAGTTAATGCCTTGCTGTTCCTGACATCCCTTCTGGAGTTATCTTCAATGGCACATATAAGTAACTGAGATTTGTATACTCTAGCTTAGATGAATTACTATTTATATATTTTGGTCCCTCTCTCCTTACCTGGCTATCCGATTTTGCTTAGTTGGCTACTTCCAGTCTAATCTTTGATTATCATTATTATTGTTTTGGGTACAAAGTCATTTATTTTATATTGCCACATATATCCTTTCCTGTCATGAGAACAAAATGTATACCATTTCCTTTACTATGATTAAAAGGAAAACAATATATTATTAGCATAACATAAGCTAATACATGTGTAAAAAAGATTTGAGATATAAAGGGAAAGAAATAAAAATATATTTATATGCAGCAACGGAAGGAAACTAATGAAATTTTCCCTTTAAATCCTTTTGAGTTTTAATTGTTTTTCATATTGTCATACATAGAGGAAAAAAAATAAAATAAGTAAATTAACAATACCAAAGACCAAGTTTCCTCCTATACAAACTCTCTCTGTCTGCTAAGTCCCTTTGGACCAAAATCAAACTGAAAATCACATACCAAGGACCTCCAAATCAAGCTAAAGAAATAAACTCCCTCAAAAGAGAAGGACAATTAAAAAAAAAAAAATTAAATAAAAGCATCACTACAGCAACATCTAAGAAACTCATCTCGGATGAGTGTGATGAGCACCCATGGATTTTTCAAAGCACTCAATTATAACAAATTCAACTTCCAATCTGCAAAAGATAAAAAAAAACAAAAACAAAATAAACTCCGGTTACTGCTCCACAAATCACAGAAGGGAATGAATATATATATATATATATTCTTGCTGTTTTATACAGATGAAAAGCCAACTAACCAATAAGTTCAGGTTTGGGTGAGTCATTGGGAGCTATTAGCACCATCTTCTCCACTCTCAGTAGGTTGAGGTTGGTGTTGGTGTTGATGATGATGCTCCAAGGTATGAGTTTGGTGATCAGAATTCATATTGAAACCAGCTCTAGTGTAAGCATTGAGAGCTGCCAACATACCCAAGTTGGTGTCAGACATGCCCAGACCCAGATGCTGAGATGGTTGCTGCGGCATTAACATGGAACCCAATTGTAGAGTACCCCCAGGTCCATGCCCACGTCCACCTTGGAATTCAAGACCACCTTGAAGGTTGAATCTTGGCATGAAATGTAGCGGAGTATTTGCAGCAGCAGCAGCAGTTTGAGTTGGTGAAGAAAAAGGCCACATGTGAGTCTCGGAAGCTGCAGAGGCAGCAGAAGGGGCACCAGCACTCACCGGAAGCATCCAAATTGTGCTTCCAGCAGCAGTTGCCGGTGCGGGTGTCACAGCCCACATGGCAGTTGCTGGTAACAAATTTGAAGGCCGAAGAAGCCCTGAACCAGATGAACCTTCTTCTTGTTGTTGCTGCTGCTGCTGCTGCTGCTTTGGCATGAATGCCTTGGGTGAAGGAGAAGACCCATCACCGCTTTCATTTTGTGATTGTTGGTTGTTATCCTCTTTGAACAGATCTTCTCTGAAGCGTTTTCTCATATAGTTCTCGCTCGAGTCACCACCACCACTATTAGGAAGTGCTTCTGCTATTTGATCAGCGGTCATGATTTGTTGTTGTTGTTGATGATGTTGATGTTGCTGCTGAGAGTGGTGTGGATGAAACCCTAGCAAAGCTGTGTGCTGGAACGCTTCCTCGTAAGGGTGGTGAGACAGTGCTAACGCCCCATGAAACGTGTGAGGTGCCGACTTTGACGGCGGAGCCGAAAGCGTCGACCCGCTACTCCGAAGGGACACGTTCAGGGTAGAGAAATTCGCCGGGATTGTTCCCGTTCCGGTGGCCGCGATGATCGCCGGCTCCGCCTGCTGAAGCAGCCATTCGATTGTCTCTCCGTCCGACTTGTGCCCCAATTCTCTCGTCAATTGGAAAACCCTAGCCGCACACGTCGCCGGCATTCGAATTCTACGACCGCGACCGTCGACCTTGGTGTGCCTGTCCTTGGTGGATCGCTTCGACGGGTTCACGACGGCGAGGGCGGTGGCGGCGGCGGCGGAGGAGGAGGAGGATAGTTGTTGTTGAATTTGGGTAGTTTTCTTGGCGGAATCGAGGAGGGGTGGGGAGCGAGAGGGGTCAGATCTGGTGGCGATGGCTAGGGAGGCGTCGATGAGGTGAGGAGGGGTGGTGGTTGTGGTGGGGGCGGCGGAGGCAGAAGCAGAAGCAGAAGAAGAGGACGATGAGGAAGAATTGGAAGAAGAAGAAGAAGAGGAAGAGGAAGAAGATGATGTGGTGAGGCCAGCTTGGATTGAGATGGAGCCCATAATGAAGGGTGATGGCCTGCCATCAAAAGGGACCACAAGTTGTTGTTGTTGTTGTTGTTGTTGCGAAGAAGAAGAAGAAGATTGTTGTTGTTGGTGTTGGTGTTGATGGTGGTGATGGTGGGGATGTTGATGACTAGTGCCTGTGTTGCTGCTCTGCTTGTTGTTTTGCAAATCTGATAGTTCCATTAGGTGGGGAAGCCTCTCTGAGGGTTTCGGATTTCCTTTTTCTTTTTTTTTTTCTATTTTTTCTATTTTCTATTTTCTTTCTTTGTTGAGTAGTATCACAGATGATTCATCAACCCCATCTTTTCTTTTGTTCATACTCACTCATCATCCCCCTTCTCACTTTCTTTCTTTTTTAGATAGAGAAAGATGGGTCGGGTTGGGTCGGGGTTAGAGAGAGACAGACACACGTATTAACACATAGAAAGATAGAAAGAGAAAGTTTTGAAATTTGGAGTGTGTTTGGACCCAACTGAGACTGTGAGTTTGTGGGGTTCTCGGTTTTTGATTGACTGTTGTGTCTTGCTCTCTGCTCAGAGCGCAACAGACATACAGACAGAGAGAGAGAGAGAGAGAGAGAGAGAGAGAAGGGTAAGTGAGTAGGTTACAACTTTCAACCTAAGAGAAGAGAGAGAAAGAAACTAAGAAAGAGTTTGTTTGGAGACCTTGCTTTTGCTTAGGTGGAGGAGAGAAACAACAACAAAAAAAAAAAAAAGTAACAGAAGCCCACTCGTGGGGTCTCGTAAAGGGGATGCCAAAAAATGGCCTTTGTTACACACATAGATGCCTGCGAAATAATAGCACCTATGTGTGTGTGTGTTTGTTTTTGTATCCTCATTCACTTCAAAGGTGAAAGTCAAGGGGCTCTCTTTTGTGTCAAATTACTAAAGTAAAAACTGTCCACTTTGCACACTCACACCCCCCCCCCCCCCAAGCAAAAAAAATAAAAAAATTTGGAGTTTATTAGTCTGGATGGATCTCCTTTTGAAGTAAAAAGAAATTATGAGAGAATCAGAATGATTCAGTGTTAAGTGTTGTTTATTGATGCGAAGTTTTAATGAGGAGGGATAGAAATTAGATTGAATAGAAAATAATAATTGGAGGGCTTGCAGTGGGTGGGTGGGATGGTTAAAGTAAAGAGGATGGGATGGGATGATACACATAACATAACATAAGAGAATAAGAGAGGAGAGGAGAGAGTGCAGGTGAGTAGCTAGACAGCACAGGTGAGCATCAGACAAAGGCATCTAATGCACCACGACAGCTCATCCCAACCCAAACCACATTCTTTCCCTTTCTTTTTCTCTTTTTTTTTTTTTTTTTTTTTTTTTAAATTCTTAATTCATACCTTTTCAAAATTATTTCTTCTTTTATTTTGTGATGGTCAAATTTGGTTGGGCACCCTAGCTTTTGATAAGTGGATAGTATACAAAGACAGAATTGCCCTAGCCCGTCGAAATTTCAATTTCCAAATCTAGTCGTTGCATTTCATCAGTTACTGCATAAAATTTGGCTCTGTGTACCAAAATCAAATAAATAAAAAAACCGCTGGCTTTGTTTCACAGTGAAAGGGGGGGGGGGGGGGGGGTTAATTATCTTTTACAAGAAATGTAATGTATTATAGTGAAACATAAAGGGGGAGAAATAAAAAAACAGTTTTAAGTTGCACAGTTTTTTTTGTTTATTCACAAGACATGATGAAAAAGAGAGAAAGAAGTGAAGATGTCTCTTTTCCTTCATATATGATATACGAACCAGCTATTGTGGGTTTGCATATATTTCTTAATGAACAATACAGTAGTCATTAGTTAGTATGCAACTATTCTATCACCACATCATATTGTGACGTTAGGAAACGGTTAAAAAAAGCTACAAAATTGCTCACTGTCATGTACTGAAACATTGAAAGGAATAGTAGAAATTAAGAGATTTCACCGTGAATCATTTCATTCTTGATTGATTTTCTTTTAAGAGGAAATATATACACAACATTAATTTTCTTTAATTTAGTATGTATTTACAGTAATAAATCATTTTCTAATTTGATTGATATTCCCTTCAATTATATCAATAATCATTCTGTTTTATAAGGGAATCAATTATTGATTAATTAACCTAGTCATATAGCTCTATTTTAAAAATAAACAATTATCACTTATCAGTAATGAAGGCAAAAATGTTTAAGTACTACATTAAAGCGCGCTCAAACATAATGATTTTTCTTTTTTTAGTACATTTTAGCATACATAGTGTGCACTCGAAGATCACTTTTAGGAAAAATAATTATATGGTCATTTTCTCTCTCTTCTTTCTTTCTCTCTTCTCTGTATTCTTCTTTCTCTCTACCCGGCTCACATGAGTCCGGCTCACATGAGTCGGGATCACTCAATATTTGCTCCACTTTTTAGTACAACGGAGATACTGATCACTCGATATAATAGAAAATTTTATATTATGTATTTTTAGAAATACAAAGTATAAAATACTAAAATTATTTTTCTTTCTCTCTTCAAAAAAATATCAACTGATGTGGCGTACTCTGATTGGTCCAATATACCTCCTACGACGACGGAAGTAATAAAAAATTTTCGACCCAAACATTTTTGCCTTTATTAGCACATTTTAACTCAATGCGACGTGCTAAAGTATGTTCTTCTTAAGCATCTCCACATTATTTTGTGTGTATTATCATGCTTTAGCGCCATAAGTGAATGCTTTAGTCTTTTTTTTGCTCTCTCCAAGTACTTTGTAATCAATCCTTCCTCCAATTCAACATAATTTACTTACAAAATTAGTAAGGATTATTCACATAAGTCAAAAGAACGAAGTTAATATTGTTTAGCCAAATAATTTAAGTTTTTATACTTTAGACTATATTTTAGAGTGATTTTGGCCCTTTAAAACATGATAAAGTACAAATTTATCAAATAATTCTCAAATTTAATATATTGGTGTTCTCAGCAGCCAAATTAAAACAAAACTATGAGAAAAGAGACGAGTTCATGTGCTCAATAAATTTTCAATAGGTCAATCAATCAGTATTACAGTCAATGAAATATGCAGGCTTAGTTTGTAAAAATAATAAGACACCAAATACTCATAACCCACAAGTCATAGAATTGCAACGAGAGTTCTCAAGAAAAAAGTAGAAAATTTAAACCAAGACACTCTATCATTAGGATTTTTAATTCATTAACACTCAAGTGTTTGAGTGTATATGTTTCATTCATGATTCACTGAATTAACACTAGCATAAATTTGGTTATATTTTTACTCATCATAGTCTTCATGTTATACACAATAGATCAAGATTTTTTTTTATCAACTCTTACTCCATAGTCTTGATTTTTTTTCTTTTTCATTCTTTTTTCACATTTTTCTTCAGTAATTGCACTTTTTTCAGATTAATTTATCAATTAATTCGATTTGAACTAAAACGAAAAAAAGTCTATATCAATTTCATTTTAAACTTTCATAATATTTTCCAGGAGGAGATATAATTTGAATTTTATATTTAAATTTTATAAAGAGAATAAAAGGTTTCATTCGTCATATTAAGGGGCATTTGGTACAAAGATTTTGGCCAGATTCTCGAGAAACTGGATTTTTCTAAATTTTAAACTTCTGAATATTATTGTAAACTGAATATAAAAATTATATTTTTGAAAATCGAAATTCCCCGACAAATTTTTTTTTTTCCTCTAATAAATGCCCCTTTAAGGTAAAATGAAGTTCTGTTTCCTTTTGAGTTTTGAGTTGTTATTTAATGAGGCGTGTACAATTTTGTCCTGTCACTATTATGGTGACCAGACGTGGAAGGTTCCTTGATGTGTGGCTGTATCATTTTTACTCTCTTTATAATTCCAGCCAGTAGTATTATTCATGCATTAAAAATTTAAAACTTTCAATACAAAGAAATTTTTTTTCAAAAGACTAGTCAACCAACTAAAAAAATATAAAGAAAAAAAAATGAATTTACTAACCAGCCAATTGAACCAAACAAGCCAATCTGGACCCCCTTGCTTTTGTTATATTATTTTAGTTTGAACAGATAATCATCATATATAATTAAATCTTCTAACCCCACAAACCCAACCTGCATCTTTATCTCTAATATCTTCACAATATTAAATTGAACAAATCAATTGCCATTATCACTCGGATCACAATTAATCCATAATTAATGATCCAATCCCTCTTTTTTGCTACAGTGATGATACAAGAAACTTGTGCAATTTAACATCGATCGGTTTTAATAATAAACTTATGGATATATTTGTAAATAACTAAAATGATTCCCTATTAATTTCACTGTAGCGCCTGCCACGCAAGGACAGTCACAGTGAGAATTACTATTCATACATCACACCCTCTTTGTTTGGTTCTCCTTAGTCCTTATAAAACAAGTATTCTTGACAGAGACTTCTCCATTTTCTTTTTATTTAAAAATAAAATACAAATTCAAAAAATTATTTTTTCTTAAAAGTGAAATTTATATGTATTACATCACATTCCAAAACTAGGGTGTCACAAGATTGTCAGCAAATTTTCAGCCCCACTCACACTGTATTTGAATCTGTCAGGGTCATTAATTAGAAGTCTCTGTGTTATTTAAATCTGTGCCCCGCTGCTAAAATAAGTTTATCATGTCCTATCAATGGTATTTCAGTGCCAATCTTTATTTCTTTCTGTTCCCACTTGCTTTCCTTTTTTTCAATGTGATCGTCACTCTAATCAAACTTTTCTTGCCAAAGATAGCTATACAAAGACATTTAATAGATAACAAAAAATAAACCCATAACTTTGATAATTCTTAAGAATATATTATTTTCTAACATTGTTTTATTATTAAATATATTTTATGTAAACTTTGCTAAATAGAAATAGATTCAAGTTATTCAGTTTGACTAATATAAAAACTATCTCAAAATGAAAAATATGTTAAATATAATGTGTGTGTGTGTGTTAATATTTAATAATTTGAAGTATTTTTTAATAGTAGATTAACCTATTATATTAATTTAAAAGTTTTTTTTTAATTCTAACTACGTCATAAAATTATAAAACGAATAAAATTTGGTAAATTAAAAAATGGAAAATTTTAATATTATTTTTCATGTTTATATATTAATTTATAAGATATACATAAAAAATAAAAGTATAAATTAAAATATAAATATTTATATGAGAATTGTTACATTTACCAATTCAAAGTTTACATATTAAACACTATATATTATGTGTATGGTTATATTGATAAACTTTTTTTTACAAACTTACAAATTATACTATGTCTTATCAGTAAGATTCTACTCAAGAGTTTCTTACTGTTAAGACATAAATATAATGTAGTTTGTAAAAATTTAAAAATAAAAAAAATATATAAATATAACATTTCTCATATATTACGAATAATACATACTATTTAAATATATATTATCCATAATAGATAATATAATTTATAAGAATTTATAAATTTTGAACTGTAAATATAACTTATTTCTTTTTTATTTTTAAAAATTTTCAGTACAAAAGCCGTGCAATTCAGTAATAGCAAGTGGCTAACAATAATTATACGAAGAAAATGTGCATGGATCCAAGGAAACATAGGG